GCTGCCAAGCCCCTGAGGCGATGTTAACAAGGGCCTCCTCTCTGGAAGCTGCTGCTACTAAATGCCTGAGTGAAAAGACAATACATGCAGAAATGTACTTTCGGTTTTGTTTTTGAGGTGCTGGAGTGCAGACCCAGGGCCCTGTGCATTCTGGGTAAGAGCCTATCCCTGAGCCACACCCCCAGCCTTCCGATGGGCAGTTTTAAAATATGAAACCTGGATGTTAACGTGTACATATACGGAAATGCTCTGCACGTAACTTAACCTGTGTGCACAGACTCTTTATAACGAAATTTCCCGGCACTATGCACGCATATCCAAAACCAGTGACACTCCAGAGAACAAAGAAAAAGCAAGGAATAAGAAGTGTCCAGCGATACATGCCTATGTGAGCATCGTTACTGTCAAATACAAATGTATTTGGAGGCGTCACTGGTGCGCCTGAAAACCCATGGAAGCTGGTTTCTTACCTGTCCTTTGGTTGACTCTAGCAGTGGCTACATTCATACAGCAGACGAAGCAGTAACATGGTTATTAGTTTATTTTCACTTTAATTAATGTGCTTGGGGGAAGAGGTGAAAGAAGTGGAAATAAAGTGTAAGAATAAAAACAAAAACCTTTTTTTTTCAAGACAGGATCTTGCTATATATCCTAGGCTGGCCATGAACCCATAATCTTCTTGCCTCTGCCTCCCAAGTGCTGGGGGATTACAGGTGTGTACTACCATGCACAGCTAAAACATGAAATTTTTTGGAAAAACATAAAAGCAAAGTGGAAAAAAAACACACACAAAAGAAAACTGAAGCCTGTCGGTATTTCCTTCCTTTGCATTTTGTCTTCCTCACCTCCACCAATAACACACATTGAGATCTCCTTCCTGGAGTGAGCCCCTTGAGCCAAGCAAGGGCATCTCTGTTCCCCTTGAGAAGTTTGTCCTTGTGCTTGATGTTACCTGGGTCTGAAGTGTTTTCACTTTCAGGTTGAACAAGAAAGATCTAAAGAGGAGGGACGAAAGTAAAGGGGACAATTGTTTGAGGGTCAGAGCTGGAATGCTTCCAGACTGATGCAAATTGTAGTATAACTGGAGGATCTCACCGAGGAGGAGAGGAGACGGGAGGCATCTATGCTTGAGGTGAAAATCCTGGGAGATTCAGTGGTGCAAATGCCTTGGAGGAAATGCAGCTGTAAGACTTAAGTCTCACTTTTACTCCTGGAGCGTGAACAGACAAGAGGCTTCCACGATGCTGGGCTCAGAAGCTCAGCGAGGCTCCAGGAGCTTGTCGCACAGCAAGAGTCACCCAGGAAGGAACACACCAGGCAAGTTGGCAAATAGACCTTTATTAGTCTGGCCAGACGGCACTCCCCAAGCCAAGTAGCTCAGAGAGGCGGCTAGCTCAGAAACAGAGGCCATTTTATATAGGGCTAAGGGTGGGGGGTACACTTAAAACTTACAGGAAGAGGACAAAGGCAAAGAATCAGTTGATCTGAGCTAGTGGTCATCAAGCATATACTTGACCATCACGTACTAATGATCAGCAGATCGATTATCCATTATTCCATTTACAACTTAGGTTATAATGTTCAGAACATTCAACTACAGGCAAGTAAGGAGTGGCGTGATTTGTGTTGGGTCTCTGTGTTCACTACAGTTTCCATTTAGTTTCCCAGCTACTTCAAAGCAGTTACCTAACAATTCACAATTAATCATTAGTTATCCTATAAGGGATGGGGGGGCAGCGACAGTCTCTAGGTCGTTTGCTGGTCAACATGGAGTCGCTCTGGTTCAGTCAGGCTCTTACACAGCTACGCTCTGGCTGGTGGTGCTGCTTTGTTTACGTGGAACTAGACTTTCCAAAAGAAAGCTCTTTGCTAAGTGATGTCCCTTCCACTCTTTCTGTGAGCAAATTAACATACTGCTGCAAGAATCTTGGGATATTTTACATTTATCTTACATGCATTAGAAGCCGTCCAATCCATTTCACAGATGCCGCTTCCTGGCAAAGTGTGCTGAATCCTGCGGACACTCGTGATTTACCAGGACAGATACAAGCTCAGATCCACTATCACCAGAACATTCGGACCACCTTATTCCCTCTTCCGTCTGATGACTTTTCCCCAGGGCAGCCACTCGCTCAGCCTGGTGACACTCCTGAGGCCTCCCCATCACCACTCGATCTGCACCCTGGCTGTGGGGGCTCCGGGGTTGCAGCCATGGCTCTGCTTCCAGCCCATGCAGCACCCTGAATCCAGGAAATAACCCCCCTTTTCTCTCAAGTGTAAGCAGACTGCCCTTCTATCGCTGGCAGTCCAAACCTTCTCCCTATTGGCTCATTTACAAATGAATCGCATATCATTGAAAAGTACTCTGTTTCATGGATTCTAGTCAAGTCAAACTGCAATGTCAGCTGGAGCAGAGACTCCAAGGGAGTGGCTAAACGCAAAGATTCTAGAATCACCTGGGCGTGATGGTGCACACCTGTAATCCCAGCAGTCTCAAGGCTGAGGCAGCCTGGGATACATAGTGAGTTGAAGGCCAGCCTGAACTACATAGCAAGACCCTGTCTCAAAAAACAAAAGAATTCAGATGAGAGGGGTTCCTCTTACATATAGTAATTCCAAGGCTTCAGCGGGGGTACAGAATGCATCCAGCAGATGGGAGGAAGGAAAGGCTTCAGTGTGGCTGCAGCCTTGTGCCAGATAAAGCGGTGAGTTAGAAGAGGGCAGATCTAGCCGGGCGTGGTGGTGCACGCCTGTAATCCCAGCATTTAGGAGGCTGAGGCAGGAGGTCACTGTGAGCTCTAGACCAGTCTGGGCTACAAAGTGAGTTCCAGGTCAGTCTCAACTACATAGTGAGACCCTGTCTCAAAACAACAACAACAACAACAACAAAAACCCACAAAAAAAACAAAAAAGAATTCTGAGGGCAGATCTAGAACAGTAAGAAATTACTCTTCATTTAGCCGGGTGTGGTTGCACAGGCCTATATGCCAGCACTTGGGAGCCTGAAGTAGGCCACCCTACCTACACAGTGAGTTCAAGGCCAGCCCGGAATAGTGAGATGAGACCCTGCCTCAAAAAAATAAAACTATTCTTATTCAATCAACAAACATTATTATGAGGTGCTAGGAACACCTATTTTTCCCAAATTAGACTTATATCATGCACGGCTTTTACTATGAGCAATTTTTGACAATAAATACACAGTAATTTTACCAATCTCTTATAGTTGGAATTATGGTTTTCAGCTTTCCAGTATCATTCAAAATACTGTGACACACATTTTTGTATATGGACATATGCCCAAATATTTCTGGGCCTTGCAAGTGGAACTGCTGGTTGGGTAAATTTGTAGACCTATTTTAATCATAATCATGTCAGGAGAATTTTAGCATGCTCAGCTGTCAAAATCTGATGCTACGTGAGGACACTATGGCCTTTTGAAGTTGGTGCTGCTGTGACAACTGGAGGCATTCTTGGTGGTGTACAGAACTCGCTTTTTCATTTTCTGTGGCATGTGAAGCAGTCACTTCAATTTCTGCCTCCAATCTTTCCATTTACTTCAGGTCACTCTAGTGTACAGGTTTTCTTATCTATCTGCAAAAGATCTTCCTCCAGATGGGACCACACTAGAAGACAATTTCGGACACTCATTTCTTCTGGTCTCCTTTGTCTGGTTCTAATTTCATCCAATAAAATCACTAACTTAATAAGAGCAGATGGAGTCCACACAATTTCATTAAAGACCCACTTAACTCAGTTTGTTGACAGATAGCATTTCCTCAAATCTGTGCATTTTCCATTTCGCGCCTTCCTCCCTTTTCAATACTGGGGATTGAACACAGGGCCTTCCCACCGAGCTACACCTCCAGCTCTTATTTTTTACTTTGAGACAATATCTCTCTAAATCATCTAGGCTGCACTCAGACTGTGATCCTCCTGCCTCAGCCTCCCAGAGGGCTGGGATTACAGGTGTGCACTACTACGTCCGGTTTGTTAGATTACTTTTTAAGGATCCATTAATGAGGGAAGTTAGGTCCTCATTTCTAAGATCCTAATGATTAACACAAACTGATATACTATTCACATCTTTCCATAGTTCTTGTTCCACTTCACTGCAAAACAAAACAAACGGACAGACAGACAAAAAAGCCTGCTTCCAAGGACAGTGTCTGGTAGGATGCCCTTGCTAAAGCTCTTGTTCCAGGCTCTTGTGCCCATTCAAAGAATTGGATGGGACAATCAACAAACCTGAAAGTTTAACATCTATTTAAAGATAAGAAGAAAGAAGAGAAAGAAGTGCTCTTTAGATTCAGCCTGCATGCAGGATGGGCCACCGCACAAGAGGGCAGTGGCACTCAAGTCACTGGTCACGTATTTTCTGTCTTCTTCTGAGGTTAGATCTGAGCAATTCCACGTCGGCCTTCCAAGCTGCTCTGCGGGCATCTGGACAGTGACTGACAGGTCATGCCTGGTTGTCCAGCCTTGATTTGCTATGCCCAAATCTCGCTCAGCCAGCCTTTGAGGGGCTTTTAGAAGGACACCTGGTGTCTAGGTAGAATTAGGCTTGACCTGTGCCACGCACAGTGCTAACTGCATTACATAGGCTTTGCCTTTCAATCCTCACCACAACTGTTAGGTAGGTATCATCACTGTACCCATTTTATAGATTAGGAAACGGAGGCTTAGGAAGGTTGTCACTCATCCTCAAGCACCCAGCTACTTCGTAGGGTGTGGTCGCCACTTTTGTTTGTAAACTGAGTAAATGTAGGAGGAGGCAGACGGAGAAGTAAACAAGAAAAAAATGAATACAGCAGGGCATCCTTTGGTTCCTCCTGCCAGGACTGGTCCAATTACGCTGCCGAAGCGCCTCCCAGCGGCCACCTCGCTGCAACGACGCTTCCGGCTTCCGGGCGTCATTGCGAGCGCCCTGCGCCTGCACCGGTGGCGTGCGTGCGTGTGTCACACGACGCCGGAGGAGGCGGGACTTCCTGTCTCGCTAAACTATTTCCGGTGCCTGCCGGAAGATGGTCCTGGATGGCCTCTGGGGCAGTCTGTGCGTGTCTGTGTCGGTGAGCTCTGGAGCTACGGGCCTTTTAGCGCCCGCTGGTCGCCACATGGTGCTGGTTGCAGCCGCCAGACTCCACTCGGAACTGCGGCGCTGAGGCGCCAGGGCAGCGTGCGACATGTCGTCGGGCCTCCGCGCTGCCGACTTCCCTCGCTGGAAACGCCACATTGCGGAGGAGCTGAGGCGCCGCGACCGACTGCAGAGGCAGGCGTTCGAGGAGATCATCCTGCAGTGTGAGCCGCGCCGTGCGGACGGGGAGCGTGGGTGGGCCCGGAGAGGACACGCGGCCGCCGATGGGACCGTAGGGGCCACTCCACAGCTCGGACGCTCCACGCCCTTGCACCCCTTCCTCCTCCATTCACTCTATCCTTATGGATTATCCTGGGGGATTTCTCTCGTCAGTTGTGTGTTCCTTGTGGGCAGTCCCCGTTTGTTTTTGTAAATCTCAGCAGCTCACCTAATGCTTATGCCCTCAAATAGGCAGACTCCAGACACATCCCGCATAGGGGGAATCGCGTGACTGAGGCAGGTGTTGAATTTAAAGCCTTAACTGGAGGGATTAACGTAGCCTACTGAATATCACAGAACGTGTGGTTTTTTATTTTTCAGACCTCCTTGTTCTTTGCCGAGTATACATTGTGAGCCTTTAAATACAGCACTTTTAGTTGGAATGTAGGCTTTACGATTTTTGTTTGTTTGTTTTTGTCTCACTATGTAGTTGAGGCTGACCTGGAACTCTCTAGTAGCCCAGGCTGGTCTCGAGAACTCACAGTGATCCTCCTGCCTAGCCTCCCAGTGCTGGGATTAAAGGCGTACACCACCACGCCTATGATATTTGAAAATTTTGAAAGTTTTTTTCACTACACCTGGCAATTTAAGGGTACTGACAAAGTTTTCCGAGTTAGATGGATGATAGGATTTTAAAACTAATTGCTATACATTGAAGTCTCATTGTGCAAAATCAGTTCCTAAGTGTATCTGCATTTTAGACCCACCTGGAGAATTGTTAATTACACAGCCCAAGGCAACCCCTGGCCAACTAAACCAGAACAAATGGAGGTAGAACACAGGATCAGTGGTTTTTGATCCCCAAAAGCTTCTGGTGTGCAGACAAGTTTGGGTGGTAAATAACTGGCATATGTTGTTTTGTTTTATGTTCTCCAGAATTCAGTGCACCAGGTCCAACTGTTGCCCATTTTACACATGAGGAAACAGACCAACAGAGATTAAATAATTTCTTTGGGTTGCATAGCATCTTGATGGTGGGAGTTAAGGAAATTAACTTTTGCATTTGTTTTTCCTATTGAGTCTCCCAACAAATGGCTCCTTTCTTTCACTGGACTTAACTTTAAACAGAAGAAAGGGATGCTGTACTGGTGCCATCTTAGATTCCAGGTACTCCCCCGCCCCTTTACTGGGGATCAAACTTAGGACCTTGTGCTTGCAAGGCAGGTGGCAGCAGCACTGAGCTAAATCCCCTGCCCAATTCCAGGTACCTTTTTTTGTTAGTTTGTTTTTTTGAGACAGGGTCTCACTATGTAGTTGAGACTGACCTGGAACTTATGTAGCCCAGGTTGGTCTCGAAGTCAGTGATCCTCTTGCCTCGGCCTCCTGAGTGCCGGAATTACAAGCGTGTGCCACCATGCCCAGCTTCCACGTACACTTAAGAGGCCCCAGGAGACCGGTGTTTCACAAGCTCAGGACTCCCCTCTCACTCAAAATGTGATTCCCTCACAGGTTACAGGGACTCCATTCTGTTAGTGAATGCTTACTCTTCAAAAGGTAGTGCCCTTTGAAAGTCGAGTCACCCCTTACTAACCCTTTTGCATCTATAATGGTAAGGAAGCTTGCCCAGACTCATAAAATAGTGCTTTGTCTTTAAGTTCTTTGAAAACCATCTCTATAGTGATCTGTAAATGAAAGATGCTGTAACCTCATAGACACAAATTGGATGTTTTTTTCACTTCAGAAATGGAAGTCATGATGGAGAAGCAGTCTGAACAAGAGGATGGATGGGAGCTGCATGCACTTGCCTGTAATCCCAGCTTTTTGGGAGATGAGGGCAAAAGGATCACCAGTTTGAGGCTAGCCTAGACAATTTAGCAAGACTGTGTCTCAAAACTTTAAAAATAAAGAGGGCTGGGGATGCGTCTCAGTGGTAGAGTGCTTACCTATCAAGCTCTAGTACCACCCAAAAACAGAGAAGGAGAGAAAATAACAATTATCAGCCCTAGACTAGTAAGTAGTGACTGCCTGCGGGGCCAGGAAAGGAGACAGGAATCAAACAAACAACAGGAGAGCTAGTCAATTTTGGCCTGTTCAGATCATCTGTTTAGGCCAGGGATTTAACCCTCTCATTCCTTGTTGCAGCTACCCAAGCCAGTCAAGTCAAAACAATCACAGGGTAACAGACTTTATAGGTCTTGTTAGGGCCCTTTGGGGCCAGATGTTAAGCCTTTTTCTTGGTTAGAATGTCTCAGGGTGAGACCACTTTCCCACTTTCCTGTTGAGCTGAATTGATCCTTTCAACCAAGATAGAAGAAGGTGTTTCTGCTTAAGAGTTCCATTTATAGGTATCAAGGAGCAGTAGGACTCCAGATTCTTTAGAGATGAACTCTTTCAACTGGAAGTTATTAGCATAGGCTCTGTAAAGATTTTGTTCTAGGGCCAGGGATTTAGCTCAGCGGTTTGGTGGTCTGCCTTGCAAGCGCAAGGACCTAAGTTCAATCCCCGGTACCACCAAAAAAAAGAGTAAAAAAAAAGGCTGGGCGTGGTGGTGCATACCTGTCATCCCAGCACCCAGGAGGCCGAGGCAGGAGGATCGCTGTGAGTTCAAGACCAGCCTGGGCTACATAGTGAGTTCCAGGTCAGTCTCAACTACATAGTGAGACCCTGTCTCAAAAACAAACAAACAAACAAAAAGACTGAACTCAGATGTTACTACCTCCAACCATCTATGAGTTCATTCTTTGTACCATTTTTATAACTGACCATGTTAGATCCAAGCTTTATGCTGGGGACTCCTAATTTGCATTCCTATTTCTAGTGCCGTAATCTAAAAAATAGTTATATTTACCATATTACAATAAAGTTCTGTATTACTTAAAGGTACAGAACATTTCACAGTGCCATTGCATTTGCTGGTGTTTTGGGTTTGTTTGTTTGTTTTGGTACCAGGGATCGAACTTGGAATCTTGTACTTGCAAGGCAGGTGGCAGAACCACTGAGCTAAATCCCTGGCCCTGCATTTGGTGTTTTAATTCCCAAAGTAAAAACATAATTTTGCAAGTGGGAAGCAATTTCAACTCCCTTTAATAGAGGGGACGCTTGTAGCTGGTAATCTGTAGGTTGTTTGACTGGACTTCCCAAGCTTAGGCATCCAAGGAATGTGTGTTCCTAGATTTTATATAATTGCTACCAAGGTGATAAGGATTAGTAACTCATCCTTTGATACCTGATAAAGGTGAAACCTACCTAGTTCATCTGTTAATCTTTTGGTCCCAAGCCTTATGTAATTATGGTATAAAAAATAACTTAATGCTTGACCTTTTATGTATATACAGATAACAAGTTGCTGGAAAAGTCTGATCTTCATTCAGTGTTGGCCCAAAAACTACAAGCTGAAAAACATGATGTGCCAAACCGGCATGAGATAAGGTAATTTGAAACTAACTTAATATTATTACTATTTTTTAAACTAACCTTGTATTTGAAGTTTGTCTAGTTCTCTTGTCACTTCTCTAAAAGCAAACTGAATAATTAAACTTGTTCAAAAGATACACACAGACCTAGAAGGCATAACTACAACGCTCTCAGCTTGAGAAATTTTCTTAATGTGGGTTCCTATGGTATGCTTGGTCACATTCTCTTCTAACCTGCCAGGGTTCACTTTTTGAATAATCAGAGACAAGTATTCCTCAGTAGGTTTACAGAGCTTCTATTTAGTACAGAATTGACTAACAAACACAGATTGCTTTTTGTCCACTGTGGTTCTATTTGATCTTTTTAGCCTGGTTGGGGCTTTGTGTTTTGTTTTGTTTTTGTTATTTTTAGAGACAGGGTCTTGCTCTGTAGTCCAGGCTGGCCTCGAACTCATGGCAGTCCTCCTGTCTCAGCCTCTGGAGTGCTGGGATGACAAGCATGTGCCACCACACCTGGCTTGGTGTTTTTCAACATTAACCTGAGAGATCAAATCCACAGATCACAGCAGGCTTTTATGTCTTTTCTAAGAACAGGTTAGGAATATCAGTATGTTTCAGTAGGAAGAATTAGTCTTGTTTTGTTGCATTAAATACATATATATTCTTATGGAATATTTTGTATTTTTACTCCCTCCTTTATGTACATTTACTGTATTTTCCAAAGGTTGTGGCCAGTCTAAAAGCCGTACTTCTTCAAAGCAGTGGGGTTTCCTTTTTTTCCCTAGAGTTTATGGTGTTTGCATATTTGGGGACTTGTGTAGTAACAGTGCCCACTACTCTAAAATCTACTCTCACACACTGGGTAATTGGAAAACGACATTGGTAATTTAAAGTTTAAAAATAAGTGGTAGATGTGGCCTGATTTAATCGCTCCTCCTATGCAGACAGATTTGCCGTATGGCTGCCTTGCCTGCGCTCTTTCCTTCCCGGGCAGAATCCTCTCCTGGGAGGAGCAGACAGGGAAGAGTCCTCCATCCACCCAGTCCTGTCTTCACTCTAACAGTTCAGGAGGTGCCACCTGGCTGTGGCCCTGGGGACTTCTGTAGTAATCAAGATGTTAGTTGTAGTAGGGTCTAAATTTCGCTGTGGGTGGGCCTTGGTGATTGTATCCATGTTATCAGGTGCACTCATTTGCCCTGGAAGGTATTGTGAATAAATGAGCAGCTGAATTTCTCTGGGCTGCTCATTTCACTGGAAGTCCTTTCCTCCCTCAGACATTGCCCATGATGAGCCTGTCCTCCTCACTGCCTTGTTTCTATTAATGGTGCCCTCATTTTCCACGAGTCATCTATGGTTCCTTTTTCCCTCAGGATCCCGCTCCTACCCTGTGTGCAGTCACCTTGGCCCTCTGTTCTTCTCTTCCTAGTCCTGGATTACTTTTATTTTTATTTTGCTGTCCCCTACCTGTCATTTCCAGTCTGTGACAGGAGTCTGCCTTGCTCATTTTAGGTTTTGTGACTGCACTGGGCCAGGCATTCGGGTTGCAGAGGTGGGGAAGCCCATTTCCACTCTTCAGGGAAGAGCAGCTCAAAGGCTGTTTCCTTCCCTCTGTCCTGTCTCTCCTAAGGCCCCTTTCATTCTAGTTTGCCTTCAGTTTAATTTTGAAGTGGGGCTCCCTATGTTGCCCGGGCTGGCTTTGAACTCCTGGACCCAAGGGGTTTTCCTACCTCAGCTTCTGGAGTGTCCTGAGCTACAGGCTGCGCCACCCTGCCCGGCTTGAGTGCTTCATCACTCTGTTTTCTTAAGTGTGTTCTGGAGGTGTAGTGTCCTCCGGGAGCTTCTTAGAAGTATAGATCACTGGTCCCTCCCCACCCTGCTGGATCTATCTGGAGGTCCTTTAGGTGATTGAATTATTATAGACTGCTAAGTTAGTTAAAATAACTCTAGGGGTTCAGTCAGGGCTGGGCTCTCCTGAGAATCAATGCAGAAGATAAGGACATATTACAACTGTGCTTCCCCTAGGGATGAGCTGCAGTGATTGATGTTCTAAATAGGTTTCCGGTCACCTTCAGTGGGGACCACAAAACTGGTCCATATATGCTTGCTATGCGACTTGCTTCCCCATTTGATCTTCATTTAATCAATATTTCCTAAGCAGCTGTACTCATATGTTATTAGTTGACTATAGTTTTGTCCTACCTCATACTTGCCTTGTGATTTTCCATTGGGTCAATATTACTTAAGTGACCACACTTGTAATCTTATTGGTTGAGTTAGTTTTGTCCTCCTTTACACCTGCCTCACCTCATGTATTTGCTCTATAAAACTCCCTTGAGCAGCAGGGTCTGCGAACAACCCGCTGTCCAGGGCCCCTTCTGTCTCTCTTAGAAGCTGTCTTTTTCTAAATAAATTCTTTATCCCGCCCCCCAGTAAATTCTTCCTACTCTCAACCTCCATTATTCCCGGAATTCATTCTTCAATTTTAGAGAACACTCAACATATTGCACATCCAGCAAGTTGGGAAATATGTTTCCCTTATATAATTTGGAGGTCCATAGCTCATCCGTGTGTCATTTGCCCTACATCACCGTGTGATACAGTGGTCAGGTGTGATTGCCATCTTTGCGCACAGGCCTGAGAGCTGGGCTCGTGGTGAGTGGGGCATCCTAGGCAGCCCTGAGGGTAGAGTGGCCTGTGTCCTTTCTTTCTGTCTCCTGGCAGTTCAGTTAAGTGCTGTGTCTTCTACCATGAAGTTTAAGGGGCTCACTGGTCCTCAGCACCCTCTGCTTGATTTTCTTATCTGTGATTGGCCCTTCCTAGGAAATTCTGCTCCAGTTGCTCTTCTCCAGCCCTTCCCCAACTGTCTCTGTTCAGAGAAATCTCTTCCTCTAATACAGTTAGTACTTTTGGCTTTTTACTAGTTTTCATGAATCTAGAATGTCAGTTCCTTAGGAGGAGGGGCTGCACCTTTTTCTTTGTATGTTCCACATTGCTTTGCATTTAAATAAGGGAATTCGATAGGTAGTTCTGGTCTCTTCCTAACTTAGGACAGTTTCATTTAAGATGTGTTCCACTTTCTCAGTCTCTTGGCCTCTACTTCCTGGGCTAAGATTAGGGAAGTCCCAAGCTGCCTCAAAGGGCCTGGTATTCATTTGTGTAGGTATGTGGGGTAAAGTTAGGAAAGATTTTTATGCTGCCTCTTTTTGTTCCCTTTTTATGGTGTTGTAGCTCATACAGAGTGGGTCCCTCTTCAGATCTGGGTGTCCTCATGCCCAGCCCTCTTTTGTCCACATGTGAGCTCTTCTGGGGCGATGGATTCCCCCACTCAGGTGGTCTGATAATGTTCATCTGTAGCTCCAGCCACGACCCTCTGAGCCAGCAGAGCAGTTGTGGTCAGCCCAGTCTCATGAGACCTGGAGGTCTCTGGAGCAGAAGGGTTTATGGAGCCATCTCAGATGCTGGCCAGAATAGGAGAGGACGCAGAGCTAGGACACCTTCCCACAACTACCAGCAGCGGTTGGTGAATGTCCCCTGAGCAGAGCTGGGAGCAGTTTGTATGAACTTTGGAGAAAGTGGGAACGTGCCTGGAACTCAGCGGAGAAGCCTTGGTATAAGAGGAGGGCAAGCCCTAACCAGAAATAATTACTTCTGGATTGGTGAGGGTCAAAGTCCCAGAAGGCTTACAGGTAAACAGGGTGGAGTGGTCTGCTGTGGATTCCAGTCCAGATTTCAAACCCTAAAAACTTGCCTGCAGCTGCTAAATGATTAACTTCCCTTATCTCTTTCCCCTGCACCCTCTGGCCTTTGTAATTTAAGACATCTCAGAGTTTTTCTTTATCACAGTCTTGCTATTTCTGAGATACTGTGCAAATACTTGGCACAGTTTCCAAAGCTGAGCTGGCTCCTGAAGCAGTCTGAACTCCCGAGGCTCCAGGGCTGTCTGCGTGCCGACCTCTGCAACTCAGTACAGCTGCCTGCAGCCCATTGTGCAGGCCAGAGGCCTCGAGTCCTCCCCTTTCATACCCAAGCGAAGCCCTGTAGCCACTGCCGCTGTGGTGGGAGTGCATCATCTTGGGTCTGGACTGCACAGGAGCTTAACTGGGCTCCCTGCTTCTGCGCCTGTGCCCCTTGCTGTCCACTCCAGACCCCTAGCAGTGTGTGGGAGGCTGAGCAGTCTCCCCGCGTCCTCGACCTTTGCTCCTTTCCCCAGGCCTGTGACCTTCCCCCTGCACACACAGCCTCCACCTCCTTCCAGGCCTGTCACTCTCAGTGCCTTCTGCTCAGAACCTTTTCCCCTGGAGGTCCGCTCGGCTTGTTCCTCACAGTCCGGTCTCCGGTCATCTGTCCCCTCTTTGGGGAAGCCCTCCTTGATCCTCTTCCTAGGACAGTTCCCTGCTGCTCTGCCCTTTCCCTCCCCGCTGCACTTGCTCTGCAGCACATGACTCATGCTTGCAGGCATCGGCTGACTGTCCAGCTGTTTGATTGGCCAGAAGCATAGGAGAGCAGAGCTTGGGTGGCTGCCTTCACCTTGGTGCCAGCAGTGCCTGGTACGTGGCAGGCACACTCACACTTGGCAGAGCACAGACTCCCTGCCTGCTCAGGTTTACCTGCTCTTCACTCGGGAGCCCGGCCTGCCAAGCTAGTAGTTACATTTGTGTTTGGTTTCCTGTGCCTCACCTCTCCTGTTTTCCACTTGCAGTGTCTCGTAACAGTTGATGCTGTGGGAGGCACTAGAGAAGCTTTGGCTGGTGGATATGTACATGTTTGAAATTGTAAATGTTGCCTAATTACAGAGGTGTGGTCTGATTCCCTTCTTTATTGCATGTTCTCCTGATTTGGCTGGTGGTGACATAGTCCTGGACACGATGGCACATGGAATGACAGTCAGCTACAGGAAATGGCCCAGCTGAGGATTAAACACCAGGAGGAACTGACTGAATTACACAAGAAACGTGGGGAGGTAAAGATTGCCCCTCGCATCTGTCTTTGCTCCTTGTGAGAGTCCTGCATGGAAAATGGGGGAGTAGCCACCTCCCCGGGAGTTTGCCAGAGCCTGGCTGTTTGGCCATATAAGATCTCTTTAGGGGAATGAGAGAGGCCCAGGGGAACCATCAGGAAGCTTGAGGCCCCTAAGCAAGACCCCTCTGTTCTGCCCTAAAAGCAATGAGATACAGCGAGGAAGCTTTTGAGAACAGAGGGGCTGCCCACGCACGTGGTCACTGAAGAGTTTCCCCCTGAAGGTCGCTGATACCTCTGGAGTTTCCGAGTGTGTACCTGGTGTTTTAGAGTCGAGAAAACTGCCCACCAGTAGATGGGTCGTGGCAGAGATCCAGCTGAGGGGGTGGGGTTTACCATTGGTTCAGCTGGGTTACAGGTGAGATCGAGGGGCAGATGTGTGTCCTCAGCAGGGAGCAGCAGCAGGCCCCACGCACCTCCCTGTAGACCCCTCCACTCTCTGCCCCTGCCCTCTTCTCAGTACCTTTGCCCAGACCCAGGGTACCTTTCCTTTCTTAAAAATACAGCAGTCACACCAGGCATGGTGGTACACGCCCAGAATCCCAGCATTTAGAAGGCTGAGGCAGGAGGATCACTGTGAGTTCAGGGCCAGCCTGGGCTACATAGCAAGAAAGACCCTGTGTCAAGAAAAAACAAATACAGCAGTCACTCACTGTGTAACTTCAGATTCGGCCCTAAGGTCTCTTATTTATAAGTTTCGTTTATTTCCCAGTTAGCTCAGTTGGTGATCGACCTGAATAATCAGATGCAGCAGAAGGACAGGGAGATACAGATGAATGAAGCAAAGTGAGTGGAGACTGGGCCCCCGAGGGACCTGGTGTGGGGCGGGTGTCACGTGTCCTGTTTGGCCAAACTCCCAAGAACATAGCCAGTGGCAGGCGGCAGCTGAGTCACTGCAGGGCCTGCAGGCCAGGACCCTTTCCTGCAAGCTCTAAGAAGAAAGTGTCAGGGCCTCTGGATTCCCGGCATGCTCCCGGGGCCATAGTCGAGACCCTTGGAAGAGTCCAGGGTGTTCACAGCTCTCTGTGGCCCACTGCTTGGGTATTCTAGCATCTTCTGGTGGTGGAGTTGTGACCATGATAGCTGAATCCCTGGCCCTTAGGATGAGGGGGTCCTTTGTGACCAGGAGTGTTTTTGGTCGAAAGAAACTTGGTGGATGAGAGGACAGGGACTCAGTCCTGGTACCCAGAGCTGGGGAGACTCCATGTCCCTGTACCTCTGTAAGCCCCTTAAGCTCCCCTTCCTTCTGGTCCTGCTTTCCTGGATGATACTTTCAGTGGTCATGCGTGGTCAGCGGAACCTCGCCCCAGGTTGCTTCCTAAAAGGGTTGTCCTGGGGCGGTGGCCCGTGTTCCTGCCCTGGCCCAAACACAGCTGTGCCCTGGCAAGGGATTCCTCGTGTTGTGCTTTCAGAATCACGGAATGTTTGCAGACCATCTCTGAGCTGGAGACAGAGTGCCTGGAGCTGCGCAGCAAGCTCCAGGATCTCGAGATCGCCACCCAGACCTTGAAGGACGAATACGACGCCCTGCAGATCACCTTCACTGCCTTGGAGGAGAAACTGAGGAAAACTGCTGAGGAGAACCAGGAGCTGGTCACCAGGTGGATGGCCGAGAAGGCCCAGGAAGCCAATCGCCTTAATGCTGAAAATGAGAAGGACTCCAGGTGGGCCATTGAGCTACTGCACGGTATAGTACAACCCAGTGCTTTGAAGAGGAAAAACAGGAAGCACTAACAAATTTAGGAATAGTGATAGTGGAAATAAAAGAAAATTTGCAATTGCAAGAATACCACAAGCTGAGCACAGAAAGAATAGCTCCCAGAACGGGGTTGACTGTACTGTCAGATAGATTGGCATTTTCCCCTCGCCCTTCTCATGCTGTGAAGCAGGTCTGACCACTACCCCTGAAGGTCACTTGCTGGAATAGAGAGGTGAGGTTCCTAATGAAATTCATTGCTGCATGGTTAAATAGTGTTTATTCTCACTGTGGAGTTTATAAAATTATTTACGTTGTATATTTTAAGAATGCTTAATGACGTGAAAAAAAAGTCAATATGACTGGAAACACAGGCATGCTCCCAGGTTTTTGGGTGTTTTTTTGTTTTTTTTTGTTTTGTTTTGTTTTGTTTTTGGTACTGGGGATTGAACTCAGGCCCTTGTGATTATGAGAGAAGCAGGTGGCGGAACCACTAAATCAAATTCCCAGCCCCTTGAGCTTTGTATTTTGAAGACTGTAGGGAATCACACTGTGGTGTTTTTTTGGAGTGGTGAGATGATGGTTTTTGTCTTGTGGGGTTTTTTGTTTTTTATTTTTTTTGTTTTGTTTTGTTTTGTTTTGTTTGTCGTATTTATTTATTTATTTATTTATTTTGGTACCAGGGTTCTAACTTGGGTTCTTGCACTTGGGAGGCAGAGGTGGCAGAACCACTGAGCTAAATCCCTTTTTTTTTTTTTTTTTTTTTTTTATCTTTTTGAGACAGGCTCTTACTATGAAGTTCAGACTGTCCTTAGCTATGTAGCTCCTGCCTCAGCCTTCCGAGTGCTGGGATTACAGGTGTGTGCCACCACGCCTGGTTTGTCCTGTATTACTATATTTTGTGACTTTCCGAAGTTTTTGTTTTGTTTTGTGGTCCTGGAAGTTGAACTCAGGGCCTCAGAGGTGTGAGAGAAGCACTCTCCCAAAGTGCTGTGTCGCCAGCCCTTTTTTATTTTGAGAGTCTCACTAAGCTGTCCAGGCCTACCCTTTCGCCTCAGCCTCCTGAGTACCTGGTGATACAGGCGTGGGCCACCCTGCTCACCTTGAAGCTCATGTTGTGGCATTCTTGGCAGTATGAGTTTGTCTGGACACCTCCAGATGGAGTTCACCACACCAAAATGTCAGCCAGAGGCAGGAGTCAAGGCAGGGCCTTGTGGATCAAAGTGTCACAGGCAGTGACAGGTAGCAGGGACTTTCTAAAGGGACTTGCTTTTATCTACCATTGTTCTTTCTCCCCTTGTGTCTTCACGGACTGTGCCCTTGAGGCGTCATGATGGCAGGTGTGGGGCCTGTGGTGTCCGAGAAGCCTTCCCTCTAGTAGCCCGCTCTCTGCCAGCCCCACTGCCGTGTCCCCTTCTTCCTACTTGTAGTGGCTTTTGTTCACCTGAGTGGTGAGCAGAGAGTAAAATTTGGAAGTAGACCTTCACGCCCTGCCTCCCATGGTGGCCTGAGTGGGTGACGCTGAAGGCCTGGCTGTGGTGCTGTTTTGTTCTCCCTGCCCTGTGGGACAGGGAGGGACTAAAGTGAGAGGAGTGGGTTTGGGACAGTCTGGCAGTAGTGCCTTACCTCTAGGACAGTTTTGCTCATGTGCCCTGGGCCCAGATTCTGCTACAGACACAGA